TAGTTGGATATCAGGTAAATTTACTTTATACTTATTTATATTTTACATATTCCTATCCAACGATTACTACTCTACAAACTTTTTTAAAATGTGATATAAAAAATGCATATAAGCATAACATAGTCATTTATCTGATAAGAAAATTCCTTGATATTAGAAAAAGCTCTGATTTAGAGATGTTAGGTTTTAGAAGAAAACAATGGCTACTTTTTGGTAAAATCTCATGTCGTAAGTATATGCCGATAGCAAAGTATTCATCGTGCAAACCAATATATACGAATTTCAATGATGTACGATGAGACAACAATAGGCAGTAGCAACCAGACGATAAGTTTGCAAAGAACGATTAGTTGCAAAACTCTTCGATATATATGTAGTAACGGCACATAGAACAATCGGAAAGTGAACTACAATTAAAAGTGGAAAAGGATAATTTAGAAAAACTGAAACAAGGACTGATAATGGTTCTTTACACAAATGGCTAGTAAAGAGGCGTACTTTCTTTCCAAAATCTCTGCAGTCCAAAAACCAGCCTACAGCTTCTACATTTTCAATACATGGAGCTGGAAAAAATAAAAGAAACCCAACTATATTGCAAGCATTTCCACTGCTGTTGAAAAAATATCAGTTATCGAGTCTTCAGAGTAAGAGATAGAGGATATAAAATAAATTACAGGAAAAAGAACTCATAATTTCGCAAATTCTTGAATAAATAAGGAAAGGGCATTTTTTTCGAAACCTCCCAGAATTTCTGTATTAACGAAGCGGAGAGGTGAGTTGATAAATAACTGTCTAGATTCATTAAAAATTGGGCTTAATTCATACGAGACAAAAGCATCTTTAAGCCGTGACTAAGTAAATTTCAGAGTTGTAGTAAAGGTTTCTATCTCTAGAAGAATCCTGTAAAACTATGTAAAATAATTACATAGGATGCGAGCAAATATAAGAATAAGATATGAATAAGAATATGCTAGATATTTAATCTAAAAACAAGTTGAGAAGGGGGCCTTCTTTTTCAAATTCATGATGGAAATGCGAATTTCAACGTTTTTAGATAATATCAACAAAGTTTGATTAAAAAACCGTTTCGAGCCAAAAAAACAAACCGTATATGTAAACTTCTTGACATCTCTTCAACTTCTCAAGAAATAATCAGAATGAGAGCAGATCAGATTCTAAAGTTTCCAAGAAGTTCTAAAGAAGAAATTAGGAAAAGATTGGTGATAGATGTAAATTATTTCCAGATTAGCAGATGAAAAAGGCATGTTTGTTTTTGGAAATCTTATATGAAGCTCAAAGGAGATATTTAGGAGGATTAAGGGGCAACATGATTGCGCCTTAAAAATCAAGATAATGAGAGAAACGGCACAGGAGTGACAACACTCAATGATTCTAGCAACTGATCTGATAACAAGCAAGACAACAAAACACGTCGCGACTGACGCCGCCACTGCTGTCAATAAACAACGAGAGATCAGAGCTGAGCAGATCGAATCAATTCGCGATGATATCATTGACGAAAAGAACTTTGAAGCCCAGCCCAGATGTGGAACTCACGAGACATCGGAGAAAATAAAACAGTCGGTTGGTTTTTCTACAAGAGCACG